AAAAAAAAAAAAAAAAAAAAAAAAAAAACCCCCCATAAAAAAAAAAAAAAAAAAAAAAAAAAAAAAAAAAAAAAAAAAAAAAAAAAAACATTAGGACATGGCCCCAGGCAACTTGGAGAATCATGAGTGAGCCTCTCCAAAAGTTTCGGAGGCTCGGGGCAACCGGACCAAAATGGCTGTCGGCGGCAGCCGAAAATAAAACAAAAACGCTTCGCTGGCATTTCGACAAAACTTGGAGCGCAGGGGGGTTAGAAGTTTGTGGATTTAGGCTCAGATGTACTGGTGTGTTTAACAGAAGCAACCAAATCCGTACGAACAAATCAAATCAAATCAAATCAAATCAAAGAAGAAGACAGAGAAAGGACGCAAGTATTAGCAGGCAGCCGAAGACCGAGCTGCGAAGTCGCTTCAGCATCAGCCCTACCGTCTTCACACGAAAATAATGCCCGGGCCCCCGGCATTATATGCAACTTTTGAACTTACCCTAAAAAAGTATTTTTTTAAGGTTTTTTTTTTTTACTCTTCTTTTCTCAATATAACCCGCTTCGAATATAAACCCTGGGAGTAATATTCAAATAGAACGCCCGGATGCCGTATTTGAATGTGGCATGTGAAGAATGCATTGTTGAGGGGGGACGGGAGTGGTTATACTATACATGAGGTTTAAAGGGGGGGTAGAAACATGAAAGGGGTTCTAACTTCAAAAGAGGCGACGCCAGAGTGATCTTGGTTACTCTGGTCCTATTTGTTCACACATTATGTCCTCCATGAGAGTAAAGCCTCACATAATGCGCTTATTCTATATATCTACATGAATCTGAATGAATCTGTTGATTCTGTTCTCTTTTTTTTTCTTCTTTTTTTTTTTTTTTTAATCTTCGAATTGATAAGGAATTCTGAAGTGACACTCGGACAAAAGTTGTTTGCATTGCAATTCTACACAACAGTCACTCGTTATTTTTTCAAAAAAATATATATATTTCCTTTTTTTTGGGGTGGGGGGTGGGGGGGGTGGAGAGGGGGCGCTCTCATCGAAGTTGCTAACAATTTACTGAATACAACGCCTGGGTGTTATGAACAAATAAAACACCTGTCGGGTTTTTTTTTTTTTTTTTTTTTTTTTTTGCTTTCGGGCATTATATTTGTATACAGTGCCTCTGGGTGTTATCTTTGTGTGAAGACAGTTTCTTCCTAAACCATAACAGAAGAAAAAGAGAAGGGTGTGTGTCCATGTTTTGCGTTTCATGTTCCCTGGTTAGAATGGAGGGTCAAGAAAGGACTTCGAGCGTAAATACTCCCCATCTTTTTTTTCTTTTTTTTTCTTTTTTAAATACTCCCCTTCCTGACTTGACACAGATCAGAGAAAGATGTTGCATTGCTTTGTCCTCCTCCCTACTTCAGACTCTTTCAGAGGGCATTTAAAACTGCAATTCAAAACTGTATCTTGACCCATAGTGCATGACTCCCGCGTAGTTTCTGCTAATAATAATTAATGCAGACAATCTGGATTCTCTCAAACAAGTCATTACACTGTTTGTTTGTCTGTTTCTGCGACACCCGGTTGTTTGCTTGGTTGGGATCCCAACCAAGAATGGCCCCAACCAAACCACGTTCCTGACATCTCCACGAATGAATATCAAAGAATGATCACACTGAAATAAAATCATACTTGGAATTTGGGGTAGGGGTGGGGGAGGGGGGGTGAAGAAAAAAGCCAGCTCTTCTCAATACAGCAACAGAGAAACTTTACAAGACAGGGCTAACTTGGTTCTCTGCATGTGTTACAGGATTACAGCCAGATTCACTAAGTCCCCGAGAGTGAACAGCCAGATTCACTGAGTCCCAGAGAGTGAACAGCCAGATTCACTGAGTCCCACAAAGTCCCAGAGTGTGCGGTATGCCCTTCGCTGCACCCCTTCATCACATAACGTACCACATGAGTCAATTTGGAAGACCTGTATGGAATGTGGTCCCTGTTCTTGTCCGACACGGCCTTGATGACTTGCCTGTCCATTAACAAGCAACAAATAAACACCATCTGTCACGTGTGAGCTTCAAGACCTTTTTCACTTTTCTGTTTTTTTTTTTTAAGCAAGGGGACGACCATGAGATATCATCATTGAACCGACGGCGCGCAGGTACGTTCCGATTTATTTTACTCATTCCATGAAATTCATTCAAATTTCAAACAGGATTCGAAGTTCGAACTTGGGTCTGGTTATCAACAGTCCATGGTGTACCGCTCAGCCACATCGGCGGAGTTTTTTCCCACTTACTTTTTTACCCACGAGTCCTGAGCATAATTTTGTTGTCACCTAGGATACCAGCCAGGCCGCCCGGGGCACCTTGCTTTCCCGGGCGGCCCGGCCGTGCAAAGACCAGGGAAGGTCCCAGCAAAAAAAAAAAAAAAAAAAAAAT